TCATCAATCAAGGATATGGATAATGATCTTTGTTGGAGATATGCCTAGAGGCAATCATGTATAATGATATTTCCTATGTGTTTATGAATCAATATAACCCTTGGACAATAGCAATGATGCATGTCGGCAAGTACATGACTTGCCTATGAGATCTTACATTGTATGATATGTTCTAAAAGGTCCCTGGTTAGAAAGTGATATTTGGACTCACATTAGACTAGACCGGCATGCAATAGGTGGATGGCTTAATCTCACTAGCCATGGAGCGTTGGACGCTAATCAAACTGCATGGACCTAATTGGATCCGAGCTCCAATATATAGATATTAGGTCGGATAAATTAACCCAACCATGACACACATCGATGGGTCATTTGCGAGTCTCTAGTACAACATATGTTCCATGTCCTAAGAGCTGAGCTGGCGCATGGACTCAGGGTGGTGACTCACCTGCTTTGGGCCGACCAAACGTTACTCTGTAATTGGATAGTTATAAAGATCCGTTTCTGGCTTGTCTAGACTCACGCCATGCGAGATTGTCGAGCAAGATGGGATTTTCCCCTTTGATCTTGAGAGATATAATCTCGGCCCCCTCGCGTGATCCGACCTAGACAAGCATGGCCATGCGACAAGGATTATGAGATAATACGGGTTTGAGCTCGGCATCACTAGAACGAGAAAGAGATCGGACTGCAACAATGATGATTTATTTTCTTTGATCAAAACAACATATATAATGAGGTTAAAGGAACAAAAGTGTGATACGTTGTACAGGTTCACCAAACCGGCTTCATTATCTTCTTGGTGGTTGACACGTCTTGCTCTTCATCCATAGTTCTTTCAACTTCCGCTATCTCTTCATTTTCGACTCCCATCCCATGCTTTCTATCTCGTTCTCGGGATTTGAAGGTGTATCTCGGCAAGTTCAGTCAATTCTCCCTCTTTTTCTTCTTCTTCTTCTTCTTCTTGAGATTCCGGTAGATAAGGTTTATTTGTTATTGCAGAAAAGGGAAATTCTACCCTTTCTTGTCCGAACTTGAGAGATTCAATATTCTTTATTTGATGGATCTCTACACCTGCACCATTCGAAAAAGTTGTCCTGAATAATATCTGACAATGATCCCCAAGAGAAAGATGCCAATGAGATAAATAAACGAGCCAACAATAACACTGACATTTCTAAGGTTGCCATACAGTTTCCCTATCAATTTCAAGCAAGCTTAATGACAATGTCAGTTTTCTCAAAGGCAGAAGGGGATATATGATTGAAGATTTTAGCATAGAGACTGTAAGGAATAATATTAATTGAAGAACCAAGATCACATAAGCCAAAATATGACGTGCTTCCAAAGGAACACGATAGTACTGGTTTACCTGCATTCCTACCTTCCATGCAACCAATGATATAAAAGGTAGTTTATTTTTCTGGTTGGATATCATTATCCATTAGCATTCTTCGTACAAAAAGTTCCTTCACGATATTTATGTGGGGTTTGATCCCACAATGCTTCACCTCTACATTCTTCCTACACTTTCGCGGAAGGTCCATTTCATTCACCTGTGGTTTCTTCCGAGGAAGTGTCGGACACATAATATTAGCAATTTTATAACTTTTATTTATTGCCGACACCAATCTAGTTGATTTGGCCTTCTTAGTGTAATGTTGCAAATTCTCTTTGGGAACCTATATAAACTGAAAAGAATCTTCCAAACCTATAAAAACACGTCAATCCAAGTGTAGTTCACTACTTATATCTTTCATCTCATTAGACTTCTGTCGCAATCATAATCAAGTTCAACACCTCCTTTAATTATCTCCTTTATCTAACCTCCAAGTTTCATTGTTAAATTTTATATTATCGAGTAGCCCCCAAGCTTGGGTGATGTTATAGACTTATAGTTCATAAAAGCTTTGCCAGATGCGAGGTCAATGGTTTTGTTACACTGACTATCAAGTAGTCCATAAAAGAAATGTAACACCATCCATGATGGATAATAATGACGAGGACATTCTTCAAGAAGAGTGTGACACCTTATATTTATTTTGATTAAGCTTTCACTTGGTCTTTGTGCGAAGCTCCTAATTTTTTTGCCTTACTTCATAAGTTTTACTTTCGGGATAATGGTAGGTGCAAATGCAGTGGATAATTTCTCCTGAGTGTCAACGTTACCAGCAGGCTGATCACATAACCATGATTTCTCTTGATCAGTTAAAGTATGAGAAAATAACTTAAGTTTCATTTCTTCATAATAGAAAGCATTAAGTTCAAATATCCACATATCTCATCAAAAAGTTGAGCATGTTTGTAGGGATCTTCAATACCATCTCCTATGAGTAGCCGACGGTAATTTCCAAATTCACCAGTGGGTCTTGGCCCCAAAGATATAAAAGTACCCCCAAAAAAGGGGCCAGAGACCTTAATAGCGGCAAGCTGGTAAAATTGTTCATATGCAGCCATAGTTGCTCAGAACCTACAAAAACTATTAGAACACAAGAAAAAATCAAAACTCGAAACAAAGCCCAAAAGTGCTCACCTCCCCGCAATAGCGCCAGAAAATGCTTGATGGCCTGCAAGTGCATAGGGTTTAGTTGTAAACTTTTCGAAGTAAGAGTATCAATCCCACGGGGACCACATGAATTGGAATTTTCCCTTATAGAGATTTATGGAGATGTGCCTGCAAGTTAGCTGCAGATGCAAAGCAAACTGAAGGTGTAAGATTGTAATGAATTTCAAGTTGGGTGTGAACTAAAGAAATAATGCAAAAGAATTAAAAGAGCTCAACAGGGTGAATAAGGCGTCGGAATTGAAAAAGGGTTAAAGTCTTCCTAGGGAGTCCATAATTCCCATTCGTACGTGTCTAACGTAACATATGCCACTGCATAATACTAACTTGGATACTTGAGTCACTTTCGATATTTGTGATTGGGCAGTTCCGGATACAGAATACGCTCTACTCGAGGTAGACTTCGTAGCATGCACACCACTATTATAGTTTCCATGCCCCGGTCCCACTATGGTAATTAAGGGCTTCCCCATGAATGTGGCCTCACCAAGGGTTCTTCGTTATTTCCCTATCAATTGCAAAGGCGAGGTAGAGAGGCTTTTACTGTCACCTCAAATTACCTCAATATCATGACCTTTACAATGATAGTAATATGCTTCGTGGCCTGCGGCGGAAATGCTGAGTGGGGCCCCTTCACAAAATTCACGAAGGCTATTAAACAAAACATTCAACAGAGAATCTCATAATCTTATTAACGTTTCATCTCCTATACATACGAAGCTTCATCCATATCCTCAAGAACTAAGGGAACTACTCACACCTGGAGATGGCAAACATCATACGAATAGCGGTGGTAAACATGGATGGAACAAATGGGTAATACACGTAGTGATCCACAAGGGTTCGGTATAACAACGAGATGGAGATGGATAGTCGTGACGATTGCAATGAAGATGCTTGATGTCACCATACCCTTGCACGAGGTGGTCGTGATGGAGATCACTTCCTTGCTGATTCCTCCGCTGGATGCCTTCCAGAGGCTAGGGTTCTCTGTTCTCGATGTGTTTCTGGAGTCTCTGGGCGTATGTTCCCTGAACCGATCACACAGGGGTGAAGTAGTTGCCCAGGCGGCGCAGCAGCACACGGTATGAGCGCGGTACGAGTGTGCACACTTGTACCCTATGCCGTCAAGTGCTCTAGTTGCCTCCTCACAATTCCTATATTATCCCTTATACTTATTCTTTTATGGTGATTGACTCTGACATTGATTGACGTGATTTCATCACCATTTCTTGGCGTTGTTTCCTTAAACTCCCAAAGGCATCCAAAAATGGCATCCTGGAGAAAATAGGTAAAAAGAAGTGCACAAACGTAATAAAATCTGAAAAAGCCTACTATGTAGGCGCAAAACAAAGAGTAAAAACATAAAAAAAATTGACTCATCAGTACGTCATTGTGTTTGTAGTAGTTGTTAGCAAGTAATGTATATAAGAGATTTCATAATGTGGTGTACAATTGTTGTTCTGCGGAGATCATCATTGTTGCAGGGTAGGTTGTAGGCCATAATGTGGACTATTTAGAATAAAATGTTGGTACGGCGGCGTTTACTTCAAATGTAAATAATTACTCATGGCATATGGGTAGAGGTCTACACAACTAGTATCTAAGTTATCAGTGGCGTGTGATATGTAGGGAATGCCATTAGTACATTACTTACTAGGGGTGCACGCCGGTGAGTACGCCACTGATATTTAGGTTACGTGTGGCCTGGACTTCGCAAGCCACTAGTGACCAACATGATACTAGTGGCATGCAGGCTACACACCACTAATGGGAAGCGCACACACTTGGTAACCCACACGCTGGTAGCATGATACTAGTGGCATGCGACCTACACATCATGAATGGGCACTATCAACACGCTAGTAGTAGGCTTTCATATACTGGTGCAGACAAAAAAAATCAAAAACCTATTTGCGATGTGGGTCTTCCACAAATGGGTGCTTTTCATTGCCCTTCTAAGATAGATGTCTATCCCAGGGGTTCCCATGTTTATCGATCTTCCTTGTTGTATATAGAGAGCATATCTGCAACTAAAATTAATCCACTTCTTGCACTAAAGCAACATGCACAATGTCATAAAGTTGTGCAGCCCAACAATCTTCTCATACATTCACAATTTCATAGACAAATAAGTATTTCAATATGTTCGGTTCCAACACTTTCATATGCATCTCGTCGTACATTGCAACACATGCATGAGCTTGCAGGCTGGTTAGGTTTTTTTGCAAAGTATATTTATTGTCTTATCACTTGGAACACATATGCTAATGGTGCAGGATACTGGTCAACATCCTACGTGGCAACCCTAGAAAAAAATGTTGCACTACATTTATAGACTTGCATACAATGGGCTAGCATGCATTTTTTTATGGTAGGCTTCCTATCCAATTTCTATTACAGAAACATTGGGTTCGTACGTGGTAGCCTGCATGATTCAGAAGAGCAACATCCTAGTGTAATCCTCAAGGATGGGGAGCCTATGCTCATCATCATAGCCATACATGACGTGGACCATCCTCGCAAAGTTGAGTGACGTGCCGACAAAGGCATGAGATAGTGTTGAATTTGTTCCAGAGAAGCATTCCCTATTCAGATCCTCCCACTCACCCGCGATTATCTCCAGCGTGTGTTCCTCCACGTCACCTTGAGAATTTTCTCTCTGATACAACTCCTTGTATGATCCATCGAGTCCTTCTTGCGATTCATCCTACATGATGAAAAAATGTATGATCATGCCAAATTTGTTGAATGTTGACGTGTATGCGCACCCAGACAAATATATATGGAATTTATTCAGGTAAAATTATTGGTGGTGCCCAGAAGAATATGTATGACAAATTGTTGGTGTGTTATCACCTTTGCACTACCCATGTCGTCGTAGAGCCTCATGATCTTTGCAGGGCAAGATATTATTCGGAAGATGTAGTCTCTGTTGTCCTCTGTTAAATCATGGCCTAGCATGAAGAAAATATGCAAGAATACAAGAGGTACTCCTGAAGTGATGATGCCGTTTCTTAGATAGTCCTTGGATGTAGGAGCCTGATTAGTAGATAACCATTTCCCCTCGATCATGAATCCATCAAACAAAGTTGCCCACTACAAGAAAAAATGAAGGAAGGTAAGATTAATTCCTTGAGTATAATTTTTTATATATTTTTCTTGTAAATACAACTAGATAATTTCCTTGCATTGCAATAGGACACACATATTTTGTACGTAGTCACCATGATTTACCTATCATTTTAGTTAATATGATTACGTAGTAAAAGGTAACTTTAGTTAGTAATCTAATCGACACTTATTGACTTATCAGTAAACACATTATTTTATTTAGTTAGCCAATAAGATTGGGGGTTGGAACGGTTTTAAAGGAAAATCGTTCGGGTTGATCTTCAAAATCAGAAATGGAGGAGGTGGGGTAGGAAGGGAGAGTACATACAAAAATAAGGAACTTAACACAAATCCTCACATGTTTTTTAATTAACAGAGATTAAAATTAAATGATTTAATACGTAAAAATATGTGAGGTGCTAGGGTTAATATTTAGTTGCTCAGGATAATCAAATTAAAGAAAAGGAAGAAGCCTTTTAGCAGACATACAGCTTTCTTGAGATGATTGATAGGGTTCAATCCATGCTCTTTCTTGACCATATCGGAGATGTCATTTGTGATTGTGTAAAGAGCCTTGTAACATGATATCATGTAGCTTGGGAGTGAATCAATGGCTGCAAGATCCCATCTGCCAAAATGTGCATTTATGTTTTAAACTTCAATAAAAGAAATATTTTTATATCATGTATAATGTCTTAACTAATCCATGATTCTTTTATTCCATTAGCAAAGTTATGACATTTTGGTCATAAACAATCTCTAAGATGCAATGCTTTGCACTTTTTTGTAGGAATATGCAATAAATATTTAGAAAACTATTAATCTATGAAAATATTGCATAGATTGCTTATTTTGAAACAATCTTAACAAATCTGCATATATTATACATCAAAGTTAAATAAGTTTGTATATTTGACTGGACATATTTAATACTTCATTTTTGATGAACAAAGGTAACTATATTACTTCTACAAAATGCATTAAGCTTATTTATTAAGGGAACATTAGTGCTCACGTTTTGATTGCTTCATTAAAGAGGGAGAGCTCTTCTTGTGTGGCGACAAGATCAAAGATGTCATCCACAATGTAGACCATGGAGATGATCTTTGTGGTCTCAACCCTATATCTAGAGAAAGAGAAACCCTCAAGGGCAGTCATGGCCCACATGTACCATTTAAGAACTTGATCCCTTGCAGCCGGTATTTCTTGAGCCAATCCCAGATCAATCCACCATCTTTGAGAAAAGGAAATTTTCATATAGTAAAAACCACCAATCCTTTAGTCATGGGAATACATGAGCAATAAAAAATATGAACTAGTAAATTTGACCACTAGTTCTAGCATTACGCTCTTATCAAGATGATGCGCATATTGACCATCTTGTAGAAAATTAATCATGGAAGGACACTAGTTTATTATGTTTATACCTCTTAACCTCCTGCCCTTCCCTCTGATGCTGTAACTTCTTAATCTGAAACTCTGCAAGTGCTAGATTCTCAATTGCCATGTTCCTAGTGGGCAAGTTTTGGAGGTAGCTCAGATGGTGCCTTGCCTTGTACTGCATCAGGCTCACATGATAGGGATGGTCTAGTGACTGGCTCACATATCTTGCAAGGTTCGGCTCCAAATACTTAATTGCAAATCTAAGGTGCTTGCTTGAGAATTCATTTGCCTTGTAGAGTGATGATTCTCCCATGTTGAGGTGTGACATGTCTTGCAAGCTCAGTAGCCCTCTAATGTCATTGCTAAGCCCGAGGTTGAAATCACCATTATTGTTCATGAACTTTCGTAGAACATCGTCTGCAACATCATGGAGAAGGGTATTAGGCACATGTCATAAATAATGAGAACAATACATCTGAAGGGAGGTTCTTAAATGCTCCACAAGGAAACCTTAAAAGTTAAATATTAGACTTGGCTAATCTTAGATTTTTTTTCCAGCAAAGTTATCGTCTAAATTCATTTCATAGACCAAATTGCACCCAACCTTCCTAAACTTGTGTTTTTATCTGACTCAACATACTAAACGTGTATGTTACTGACCTGCCGAAAAATAATATCCAGCTTCCCTCATCATCCTCGAAGAAAGGGTTGCATCAAGCAGATCATCACTATGGATGAGATCCACACATGAGCCCATGATGGTATCAATTTCGTCTTGGAAATAGTGGTCGATGCAGAGGCGCTTTAGATGATCAACAGTTGTCAACATGCCTCCTCTACTCTTCGGAGGTTGTTGCAGCAACGCTTGAACATTCCTTAGGCTTTCCTAGTGTTGTAGAGAGAGCAAACTTCTTTTATAAAAAATATAGAGTTTACAGAAGTGCAATAGATACCATATATTATCTCAGTTTGAAAGTAGATGATGTGATAAAAAATATGCATCCAAAATTCTTCAAGTTTGACTATTAATATATGAATAAATACTCAGGCTGGCCGGGTGATAGCTCTTACAATATTTTTTTTCAATACAAATACCAGTGATGCCGTAGGTTTATATTTTGTTCACATCTTATCGAAATTAACATCAAGATATATATGTATATCTAAAACTGTGGTCATTCCAAAATATGTGAATAATTTTCTAATGAAGTGTATAACTTGTTTTTCTCATCATTATCTCCGTAGATGTCACTTTAGGATGTTGCACAAACTACCAGCACAACACACAATATTCAAACTTATCTTTAAGCAATTCACGAATTGCCAAATTGAGGTTAAGAGAGTTTTTTTTGGTTGAATGCGATATTTATGTTGACAATGAACATCCATGGCGAGACTCAAATGTGACATCAGCTCTGATAGGTGTGAAATCGAACCCCCGAAGTAATTAGAAAAATGACATAAACATGCATGCTAATTACATTCAAGTACCTTTGGTTTTTCCATGACCGACAGTACATGCTAATGTTGCTATCTATGACATCTTAAAGAAGTATGAACCCAAATTTCTCCAAATCTTACTATCAATGTATGAAAACATATTAAAACTACTTTCATTGTATGGTAGGTTTATACATCCTCTGTCTGGAAATACTTGTGAGGGAAATAGATAAAAATGAATGTATCAAAAAGTAAAATACGTCTAGATACATCCATTTCTCCAACAAGTATTTTCGGCTGGAGGTAGTATTTTATTAACATCTTATGACAATCAACAATCAAAGATAGATTTTGAAAATTGTACTGATTCAAAAAAAACGACATTAGATTATGAATGAAGTACACATATTTTCTCTCTCTCCTTTGTTCCTGAGTAGATGTCATTCTAGGATGTTGCACGAACAACCAGCAGACCACAAGATATTCAAAGTTACCTTGAGATGCCAAACTGTTTCCAAGAAAAGAAAATGAATCTCTAAACTCAGGTTAAAAGATTCTTTTGGTGGAAGGCGACGTTTATATTGAGGGCTAGGCATCTATGGTGAGAACTAGTCTCGGCATTACGTCCAATATGTATGAAACTGATCCCCAAATTAATTCAAAAGAAACATAAGCATGCATGTTCTCAAATTGCATTCATGTACCTTTGTTGCCATGTATGTTCTTTGTTTGTACGACAACAATATATACTTCAATACCTGGAAGTCAAAATCATCCGACAGCTCATGGGACGCAGGCTCCGGCCCGGGACATATCACAGGCGAAGGGCGGAAGAAGCTACAGTTGCGGCCGCTCCGGCCACCATTTCCAGCTACCCATGAAGCCGAATGGAGCAGTGGCTCGACCGAGGAGAAGGAGAAGAAGGCATGCGCAGCAGCCATCGGTTGCTGAATCAATGGTGGCTGGCTAGCTAAGTGTGCCGTGTTACAGATCGACTAAGCTAGCTAACTGGGTAACTAACTAGCTTGGACGATATGGGATGAACAAGTAGCTGTTGCTGCTGCTGTGTCTTTGGATTGATGGAGGAGCAATGCATACATGCACTCTAGATTTATAGGGAGAGGAGAGCAGAGCAGAGGGTGCCGCTGGGTCGATCCATCCTCCACCGAGGAGTGGACTGTTCGCCCCAGGTGAGTCATGTGCAAAATTCACTAAACGTGCACGATTGTAGCATACGTCTGTTATCTAGTGAACTAGGAGTAGCTAGCTAGATAATCCATGCTAAGTCAATTTGTCGTAGTACCTTAAGTAATGCATATTTACTTAATGTAGACAGAGACAAGTTTATTACTTCTCACATCGCTCACGCGCGTCACGTCATGCATGCACACTAAGCATGTTTTTTAGAGTAACAGGGAGTGCCTTCCCGGTTGCACTGAAAATGAGCCAACAAGTTCACAGAATCTGTCAGGGCCAGAGGCCAAAACATGCAACTAAGAAGAATAAAGCAGAGTTTACTAACTACTACAAGAGAATCTTCAAGTAACACACATGCCGAATATCCACTATGTTCACTATATTCTTCGCTTGACCGGTACACCATTGGATCCAAGATCCGGCCTGATTTTTAGCTTCCAGCATTCGGATTGTTCGTTAGGAAAATTTGAAACTGTTTAGTGTACTATATCAATTAATTCATCGTGCTTTGTGGGTGTAGCGGGACCACACTTGCATCCTCATACACCATGCATCTTGCTATGAGCAGCAACTAGCGTGAAGAAATTATGATAAAGTATATGTATGTATTTTTTACCTCAAAGTATGCATATACATACTAATAAAAAGGCCGTCAACGGATGCAAGATGAAGAAGACTACGGCATCCCCTGGAATTTGATTTTTTGGTATGAATGTGTTTATAAGGACTTGTTAAAAAAGAAGAGACATATATTCTTCTGATATTTTTGGGAGCAACATGTTCGTCATGTTTGCTCGGTTTCCTCTTGCTCTGAGCGCGCGTACGTACGATGTGTGTGTG